GCTGTGTGATCACAGGCTTGACTTAAGGCAGTGGGTGGGAAGGTCTCACTGCTGGGATTGCTGTATTAAGAAACTTGCAGGCAGATCGTTACGGAGAAGGGAGGAAGGGCAGGCAGGCAGGCCTGGTTGGGATTAGGCAGTCTTACCATTAAGCAGAGCAGAATGGTGGCCGTGGGCAGCTGATTTTGGAGAAAGACTGACGCTGGAAATGAATTTTAGGCTGCCTTTAAGGGTAGAATTCTATCAAGGCAACATGCAAGATAAAAACTTCAAACAGTGCAAAGCATGTATAATAAAAGTAAGCAATAAAAGGGAGAGGTGTTTGGATGTGGTAAGTGGTACAGAGGGGGATTCAGTAAATATAATTCTGTCCATGACACATTTTATCTGAGCAATTTGAACCCCACAATTCATTCCAATAACAACAGTGCTAACTATGCGAGATCTCCCATGGAAATCAAGAAGGGACAGGCCTGGTTGGAATCTGGATGGGAGACTTGAGCCCTGCATTGTGCAGGGTGTTGGACCCAATGGACTTATAAGCTCCTTCCAAGTCCATAATTCTATGATACACCCTGCTCAGAGACAGAAGACAAGGAAGGCTCTTCCCAGCATATCCTGTATGTAAACATCCCAGATCAGCCACTATTAGAATGGCAACAGAATACTAGACAGGATGACCCGTTTTCCCCACTCCAGTAGAGCTCTATTGAGCATGAAGCTGTGGAGATTAGAATATGTCTTTTCACTTGCTGTGGCCTGGAAAAGGCAGATGGGACCGTGTTGCTGCAGAAGATGGAGACAGATCCACAAAATTGCTAGGTTTTATATTCTAAAAACTAGGGAATCATCTACGATGTGCTTCTTTGTCCCAACATCCTAGGTGTTTGTCTACTTAAAAGTAACAGCATGGCTGCTAGGCAGGTCCTAGATGAATATAGAATATTTCTGTCTCGGGTGAAACTGGGGTTCCAAGCTCAGAACACCCTCTCTACTCCTTGCAGCCAATGTAAAAAGAGCCATGTTGACCACTTCTCCAAGGCTGCAAACACAACCTCAGAGAAGGACTTGAGTGGGTATTCCAGGGGTGGGAAGGGGAGGAGACAGGAGCTGCCACCACACAAAGTATCCCGGTGGAGCCTTGGGCTGCTTCCCTCCCACTCAAAGTTGGTGGTCTAAATGTTTAGCAGTCAGAGGAATCTGGAGGCGATCAAGTCTGGAGGGCTACCAGCATCCCAGTTGGACTGGGCTCTGTGTCTGAAGACTAAAGGCAAACTTAATGGCTACACCAATTCAGCCCTTGTTTCCTCTCCCCACCACTACCCTCAGCCTACTTCATTTAGCACCCGATGAAGAGCATCGGAAGACTGGTTGCTTTTACAGTGAAGCCATTGCCTGGGGTGGGTTTGTAGAACTCCCAGGAGTGGACAGATACAAACTGGTATTCACACTGGTTGATTTTCAGTGTCAGGCTATAGTCACTGTAAGGTCATCCAAATAGATGATCATTCTGTTCTTTAATCAACTTTTCAAAAAATGTCAAATCTCTTAAAGAACCTTTCCCTGCTTGTATTTCCTTTTTCAATCTTGAAATCAGTTGGTGATAAGCAAACCACTGTATAGTTTCCCCTTCATCTTTTAGTTGTTGCCAAGATTTAACTCCTCCTTGTTGATCAATCATATCTCCATAAGTTATAAAATCATTATTTTCCCTGAAGTATTTTCCCAGTGCTTCAACTGGGGACATCAAAAGAGGGATTGGAGGACTATTTTCTTTCCTCATGGAATACCAAATTTGTATTAGGCCATCTCTTAATGCATGGTTGTTATTTGTCATCAGGGCCTTTCTAAGTGACTCTTTAACCCATAGGAGGTCATGCATCCCTTTTCAAGATCTGCTATTTCTACCTTCACTCGCCTATCATTAGCATTTATAATCCAATCTGCAAAACAAACCAGGCCAGCTGCATAGGAGAATAGCTTTAAATTAGGCACTGCAAGGCCTGCTTTTCATCCTGAAGGATTTCATATCTAATCCTCAGCTTTTTGCCATTCCAGATAAAGACATTTAGTTGTCTTTGCCAGTCTTGGAGAGTTTTTCCTGGCATAGCAATTCGTATCATTCTGAAATAGAAAGTTCATCTTAGTACATTCATTTTTATAATGGAAATTCTTCACCAAAATGATTCGTGTTGTTTAGTCCATTTCTGTAAATGTTTTTGGATCTTCATCTACATTATTTGATAATTATCTTGAAATAGTGTGTTATTATGTCCCATGATATTTATCCCTGCGTATTTAACTGGGTTTGAGATTATTTCACATCCTGAAATCTTTTTTTATGCTTTCCTCTTCCTACTTTGTCACAAATTTTAGCATTTTTAGATTTTTTGTTTTTTCTTATTGAACTTATAGCCTGAATAGAGCCCAAATTTTTCAATTTGCTCTATAATATTTCTGAATAGACTGATGTGGATTTAGAATAGTCAAGACTATATCATCAGCATAACATTTCATTTTGTATTCCTCTCCACCTGTTTTAAAGCTTTTGATTTTTGGGTCTTGTCTTGTCTTATCTCTTTTGCTAAAATTTCCAGTACAAGAATAAATAAAGGAGGCAATAAAGGGCATCCTTGGCATATTCACTTCTCCATTTGAAAACTGTCAGTTAATATGCCATTAATTAAAACCTTAGCATGTTGTTTAGTATAAATTGCTTGAATCCAATTCAGAAAGCTTGAACTACAGTCTATACACTGGAGAGTTTTCATTGAAAAGAGTCAAGACAGATTATCAAAAGCTTTCTCTGCATCTAAAAAAATAAATGCAGCTTTTTCTTCTTAACCCATTCAATTGCATCAATCACAAAATGTGTATTATCTTTCATATATCTTTTTGGGAAAAATCCAGTCTGATCTGTATGAATCTTTTCTATACATTTTCTTAGTCTCTCTGCCATTGTTGAAGTAAAAAGTTTGTAGTCCACATTTAATAATGAGATAGGTCAGTAAGAATGGTAACATAGGATCATTAGCTTCTTTATGTATCAATGATATATGAACTTCCTACCATGCTGGTGGTAATATTCTCTCCTTTAATTTCATTGTTGAAATTCATTACTTGTTGAAGTGGTAATATTAATTTTTCCACTAAGCACTTGCAATACATAGCAGTAAATCTGTTGGGGTCAGGTACGTTATCTTTTTAAAATTTTCTAATAGCTTGCGATAGTTCTTGAATGGTAATAGTATCAGTCAGTATTTTCCTCTGCTCAGGGGTGAATTTCTCAAGACATGTTTCTTTATATACTGGTCCTTTCCATCTTCTGCGGTCATTTTTTAAAATATAAATTTGAAAAAACCTAGTAAATTGGTCATGAATTTTCTTTTCAACATATGTTATTCCATTGTCTTTTTTCACCCATTATAGATCTTTCCATTTCTTTCTTAAAACAGTATCTTCTAGGTTTATTTGCATGTAGTGTTTTTGTTTTAAAAATCTCAACTTCTTTTGTATCTCCTCTGTCTTTGTTATTGTTATATCTATTTGATTTCTTAATTGTCTGAGTCCAGTTAAAATTGATTTATTGGTTTTTTATGACGATCCTCTAGTATTTGAATTTGTTCCAGAATTCTTTTTCTTTGTTCTGATTTCTCTTTCACTTAGACATTATTGCTAAAAAATATCCTTTCATATACAGATACCCACACTTGAAATAACAAATCAGGTTTGGACAGGGGGAAGGTTGAAAATCAGAACTACATTATCGAAAACAGCAAAGCATGTGGCACCTGGAAGACAAACACCATTACTGTGGCAAAAGATTTTGTGGACTGACATCCACTTCATCAGCTACGCAGCTTTCTCTCTCGCATGGACAGTGTCACAAGTAATTTGTTGCTGTTTGACTTCCCTTCCCTTCCCTTCATTCCACATACGGTTGCCAAGTTAGATTAACACTTCATAGGTGGACTTTCATCTACGAAAGCTTACACCCTCATACTGACCACCTCCGTTCTTCTCACCACTACAGACAATATTAGTTACTTCTCCAAATATTAAGGGGGGGGGCTAAAATATTAAGAGGGACAGTTGGGTAAAACAGAGGATGAGTTCTTAAAAAACAGGCCATCTCAGTTTCTGCCTCTTGCAAGTGCTCCTTTGTGTTTCTCAAAAATAGTATCCCAACTCACAGCTGAAACTTCTAGTCACCCTTTTTGTGTTTCTCATTTTCTGTGCTGGCTAAAGAGGTGTGACTGATGAAAGCCTTTTTCTTCCTCCTGTCATGACGTGGCTTCCCCGTGTGTGTCTTGGCATTTATTGCATGGCAAACAGAGCTGTTTATGTACCCTGCTGAGGATCTTAAGGAAATGGCATTAAAAGGCCTTCTTTTTCCCACACAAATGAGCTTATCAGATGAAACGACAAAACAGAAGCTTTTCTAGAACCCCGCTTGATTCCATGGCAGGTAAGGATTAGCATTTCAGACTTCAGTAAACTGTCTTTTGTCAATCAAGCTTCTTCCAGCTAGGTCAACCTCACCAGCAGTGAGGTGGCCACCTCAAGCAGCTGAATTTGAGTGTCATGAAAGGGCAGAGATGTGGTTTTACTCCCAGGCAGAGCCGCTTATGAGATTTCCTGGCCCAAGTAACTTGGCTAGCCTTGGACTTTGGCTGGGGAGGGTGGGCTGTATTTGCTGTACATAAATCGTTAGAGTTTTAACTTTAAGCTGAACAAATGTTTTGTTTTATTGTGTAAAGGTAATTGATAATTGACAGGACAGCTTTATTGATTGATGCTTTTTTAGGTTTTCCGTGGCCTGTGAGTTCATGCAGCTGCAGTGCTTACTGGCTCTAGAATTTTTTAAAACATCCCTTTATGATAGCAGTGCAAAATGTGTGCCTGCCCCATATTGTGAGGGAACTTCATCCTTGGCCATCGGCTGCTGTTGGTGAGAGTTGAGAGTCAAACGCCATGTGGAAGGGAACAGACACGCAGTGGAGGGTGGAAAAAATCTATCCAGGAAGGATAGGGAGAAGGATTCATGAGAACCCACTCTGAATTCCGCTTTTATTTGTGAATCTAAACAGAACACTTTCACGTCCCCATTAGACCAGAGTCATTCATAAATAAATCCAGAATATCATGAAATCAGCCCACACTGTACATCATGATGACCAATTTAGTAAGGAGCCAGATAGCAGGAACAAGATGCCATTTAGAGGACACTATTTAATTATACTGAATCTTGCATTAAAAGGACAAAGTAAATACTGCATTTTTATTACTATTTACCCCTTAACATTTTAACTCAGTTACGTGTGAATTTAACTAAGTAAAACCAACAATGCCACAAGGATTTTAAAAAGCTTCAGAAATAAGCTGGAAAGCCATGAGCCTATGTATAAGCAGTATAACAAAATACAACTGAAAATGCAACCTGCATTTCTATCATGGTCTAATACTGACGTTTATCATTCATCTACTGTTTAGCAACACAATGGTGTGGGACAGAATTTCAGGAAGAACAGCTGGGCTTTGCTGAGGGTTATTGCCACTTCTTGTACAAAGCATAGTTCTTCCTTCCTCCAGCCATGTACAAGTGATATGCTAGAGTTGCAAAGGAATGCGAGGTAGCAAGTTTCCATTTGGTATTTTAATTTTACCATCTCATGCCTCCTTTCAATGAACATACACTACAGAAATATATCAAGATGTATTTTTTTAAAAAACACACAAAACACATTCTTCCTGCATAACATATAAAAATCTAACACTGAATAAAGGAAAAGTTTACATTGGACAGACTGAAAGCCGGTTATTATACAGTCATTCAATGCACCTTGCCACACTAATAATAGCCATACTGTGAGCCCTGAAAATGGGAACCGTATTGTGGTCCGTGTCCATGCTGGAAGTAGGAAGGCTGTCCGTGTCTGTGGTGTTGGGAGGTGTTCCCCCAGCCTCTTTCTTGCCAATGACTGGATCTAGAGCCTCCCTGATGGTCATATCTGTTTCCTCTGCCTGTAAATTGTCTGCTGTCTCTGAATCTGCAGTGGAGAAAATTGCATGGATATAACAGGTTTTCAAAGACCATCATCTCAGCAGGATGGCTTAAAAGGAGACATTTTTAAAAATCCTACAAAGAAAATGGTTCATCTAAATCAAGGTTAAAAATTGGTACAAAACTAAGTTTCCCTTCAAAAATTAACTTGATGTGATATAAATCAGTAAAAGCCTGTTAGCCCTGACAATTTCAAACTTAAATCAGTGCTCTCTACCACACACAGAGCTGAAAGAGGCTTTTCTATATAAATGAAGAAAACTGACTCAATCATGTCTCAGAAATGAGTATTTACATGCAACTGGTTTTTACTATTGCTGAGGACAGCCTTGTCAACCCTGGTGCCCTCCAGATGCGTTGGACTGCAACTCCCATCACTCCCAGCCAGGACGGCCATCTGGAGGGAGCCAGGCTTAAGAAGCTTTGTTTAGGAAACCTCTGTAATCGGATTAATGGGAAGTGCAGTTTAGAATGGGCGTTTTCCTCTTGTTCATTAACATAAATTATTGCTGGAAACCAACCTACCCTGCCTCTTAGTAATCCTTGCATCGGGCCCACTGGGAGCCACAGTCCAGGATACCAGGAGTGAGGAAGGCTGTACCAAACCAGGTGCCCGGTGGGCGGCTCCATTCTGCCCCGGCCTTGCCATCCCAGGCAAACAGCAAAAGGGGCGAGTGGCTCTTTACAACTGCTATGCTACACTTGGCCAATGAGAGCTCCCCTTATGGTAACGTTTTTATTCTGCCTTTACTCCACTGAGCCCAAGGTAGCATACATGACATTCTCCCTCCATCTCATCCTTTCAACAGCCTTATGAGGCAGGTTAGGCTCACAGTCCATGACTGGGCCAAAGTATGAGAGAATTAGAACCCAGGACTCCTCTGCCTTAGTCTAGCATCCTGTCCACTATCCCACACTGTGTAGGCCTGAACAATATTCCTGAAAGGGAGGGAAGCCAAGAAATAACAGGCCAAGGACACCAGGTGAGCTTGACTAAGGTGAGAAAGCTCCTGGCTGACACTCTGAACGACTGCTGAGGAAAAGGAAGTGAGGGGAGCCTCAGGATTTCATCTCAATCATCCTAGAGTGCAGTTCACAGAATAATGGACTCAGGTTACAGGAAGCCAGATTCCATCTGGACATCAGGGGAAAAAAACCATAGAGCACTATGACAATACATTCAATTACCTAGGAAAGTAATACCAACCTTTCCCTAAAGGGTTAAAGTGACACCATCACATTTCCTCCTGCAAGAAAAGGGTTAAACCAACCAATGCCGGGCATGTGCAGAAATGTTATAGGTTAGATGCAGACTCTGTGTGCCCCAAAGCCTGCAATCTACTTCAAACTTGAAATAAATCCAAGTTTGCTCCAAAGATGAGCATTATATGAGTCTCACCCAACTGTCGGGAAATTCAGTAGCATTTGAGTCCATATACAGTACCTTCATTCATGTAAAAAAATCTGATTTTGGAATTGAACATTCAAGTTTAACTTATCTATATACCTTCTCACTCACACGACCTACATACTTGGAAATCCAGTACAAGTGATACCAAATGCAATCTACTGCATATTGTCCTTTCCATTCCCCAAGTGCCAGCAGCCAAGATTAAGTTCAAACTAAGAAAGGGCAGTTTGTATAGCCTGCAAGGAAGGACAACTCAGAATATTTTTGGTAGATATAAAATCCCAAGAGCTTAGTAGTGGAGGATGATGTATAATCAACAATCTTAAAGAATCACAAGAAATGCAGATCAAGCTACACAGAGTATGTCAAATGTTATCTAAGAATGCAAATGATATTCTTTTTAGACAATTAGGAAAAATGTTTACCTTGCTGCTTGGCACAGTCTTCCTTGTTTGTTTGTTAATAATTATACCACAGAAGGCAGTCTATTTGGCTTATTAGGAAAAGCCTGGATCTCTTCTCCATTGCAGGAAAAATTATTTCATGACCAAGCAGTAGCTCCTATGAGCAATTCTTCCTGGAGTTACAGTTCATTCCTTTTGGCATAAAGAGCACTTTGCCTCAGACCTACACAGAATGCAAAACTATTGGCAGTGTCACTGAAGCAAAGCCCTATTTTTTCCCCCGGAGAAAAAATTACTCTGGGAACACTCTCAGAGCATCAGCAGCCAGTTGGCTCCATAAGGCATTTTATCTGGCCTCAGTTGCCAACCAAGAAATCATGGGTGCTGTGCAGAACAGTGCTTTCAGCTACTTATCCAACCAAGAGGCCTGTTTGCAGAGAAGATCTGAATGATCTCAGCCTGTCACCTAAGATCTCTTTCACAGACTGGCTCTACCCAGAGCAATACATGGAGTCAACGAACATCCATTTACTAACAAAATCTTTTTAAATTTTTTGTCAGTGAAACCAAGGCTTCTCAAATAAAAATCATACCTCTCTCTGTGTCGCTGGTTGCCAGCTGACCTGTTTCTCCATCCTTCTATTACGGGAGGAGGATCTGCTGGGCGCTGAATGTATTTCGTATATTCCTCATCTTTGGAAGTAAATCGATGTGCAAACATCTGTTCATACTTCTGAAGGATTTCAGATATGGTGGGTTCACTTAAAAGGTAGAAAAATATTTTAAGTTAAATATGTATGGAAGATAATAGGTTAAATTTGCTGATGAGCTGGATTTGCAAGATGGCTTGAATATGGCAGAATGAGACAGGCATTGGTTCCATACTGCAAGTGCAGCCTTTCTAGGATCGAAGCAGTAATCTTGTAACACCCTATCATGTTGTTTTCAGCAACATGAACAAGAATAAGTGACTTTTGAGCAAGCACTTTATATGGCCACCATTAGTTTATTCCTAGAAACTAGTCTGATTTATTGGGGTGCAAAACTCCTTTCGGACCAAGGTCTGAATCATATTTTGGAGACGCTTTTGGGGGCAAAGTTCCAGTGGTGCCCTGCACCAAAGACAAAATGCCAACGTGCTTTAACTTGCTGCTCTTGCTGTCAGTAACTAAGTCTCTTCATAATGGGGAAGCACCAAAAATAGGCAGTTGTTCAGGTGTGGGGGACAGAGCAGCAGCATGGGCATCTGTGAGCCTGAGATTTCGCACCCTGGTTTATACTGAGGCTTCTTCACCTGTGACCCAGCAAACTGCGTGCAACTCATGTCAGCCATGACCTGTAGCTCTGGCAGCCTCCCTACAGTTGGAGACACCAAGATATCACCTCTCATGGCATCTGCTGTTATTCCTCCCCGCTCCTCCCCCATTTTCATCCCCAATCAATCAGGTTTGCAAGGTTTACAATACAAGCACCTGTGAAACCTGTTTCTCAGAAGGGAAGCTATGCAGATACACAATTACTTTCAGCATCTGGGGTAAGAAGGTATTCTCTGTATCTAGGGGTATCCAAGGGAGGCAAAAAACCCAGAAGGCTTGCAGAGCTCCTGGCAAGCTAGTATGCTAGATATCCTGTGATCAGTGTGATGGTTCACAAGTTGTGGAGGCTTGTTCTTGCATTGGATGTTTCAGACTGTAGCTCCCATTATCTCTTGCCATGAACTATGCTGGCTAAAGCTGATGTAAGCAATCCAGTAAGATCTGGAAGGTCACATGCTCCTCACGCCTGTTCTGAGGACGTTCCTGAGCAGGTTACAAAGACTGAGTGATGTTTGGAGCAACCCTAAATGAACCGATCCTTAGTCACATACATTTTCAGGGTAGCTGTCAGAATATCAAGATTCAGCATCTGTGAGAAAGGTACTCAAAGAGACTGTGTCAGACAAATTAAATGCCTACATTGAATTAAGATCTCCTCTGACAAGTGAGCTTCCTATAAAAGGTTAATAATGCTCAGTTAATGTGAACTTTGGAGGAAATGAAGTATTTATAAAGCCAGAACTCCACTGGTTGCAACAGTATTTGGGGCAATGATTCTCAAAAACCTTGGGGCCATTTGGGAAGCACAAACCTGTGCAAGACTACTGCTTGTTTCAATGAGCACTCTGATTAGGCCAAGAGTCAGAGCACTTTGGCCTAATACTATATTTATTATATTAAGGGAACACTCCCTTGTCATATAAATTCTAGGTGTGCACAAAACGATCCTTTTGCAAGATGCTATAGGTGTAAGAACAAATATACTTATGTAGCACTTCAGAGTGCTCCACGTACCTTATTTATGCTCCATACCTTTCATATAGGATTAGTCCTAGGGCAGCTTACAATTAAAGTGAAATTGAAACTCACAATAATATCACAGTATAAAAACACTCAAGGCAGTAGCCATTTTTAGTAACCACTGAAACAACCTTGTAAGGTAGACCAACACTATTATCCCCATACTCACAGGTCAGCCACTATGCTAGAACGGTTCTGTTGTTTTGCAAGAACTCATCCTTCAGGGACTTGGACAGAAGCACTGGGCCAATACATAATTCTTCTATTTTCTATTTAACACTTATACTCCTGTGCTTAAAGAATAAAATGGGCAAAGAACCTGGACAGTTTCTCACTGTGCTAATACGTAAAGAGCACTGATCTAGGCTCTTATCTGATTGTGACTGATTTCGAAGCAACCTGGCCTTGCTTTGTGCATGCCTCCTCATGCTCAACCTTCCATTTGTGTGTTCTCTTCTCAACTATGGATGTGTCTGTAATTAAAACAGTCATACACTGACAAGCATATGATCACAATAACAATTATTTAATAAATACATTAAGTGAGTTGGCTTTTGCCTGTTTGCATTGGTTTATGGCTCCATAATGCAATCTAACAACTCCGCATAGACAAGCAAAATGTGTAAGAGGAAAGTTGCTACCAGACCTGTTTGACCAGCCTTCTAGTATGGGAGGTGGATCTGCAGGGCGTTGGACATACTTCTGATATTCCTTGTCTTCTGAAGTATATCGATGAGCAAACATGTCCCAATAACTCTGAAGAATTTCACTTGTGGAAGCCATTTTGTAATCTGCAGATATAAAAAGCTGTTTTGACAAGTTTGAACTTAAGTACCTATATTACCCATGGACTGAAGCCACTGATAATCTAGATATTAAAAACTGAGTAAACAGTATAACATAACAAAAGTTTTATCTTCTACCCCACCATGAGTGGTAAGTCAGCTATTCAGCCTCCTTCCTCACTAGTCTGAGATAAGAGCCCCAGCCCCGACAAGTGGACAAAGCCAACCCTGTTCCCTCAGCAGTGGTAGCTGGTCAATTTCGCAGCTGATGGGGTTCTGGTGAGGATCTGTGTGCACTTTAACTTCACTGAGCAGGGAGCTGGACCTGATGGCTATACTGGCCCCTTCTACTGCTCTTATGATTTTGTGCTATGTGTTCCATTTTTCAAGACACACTTGGTTACATCACTGCATTTTTTTCTTGTGCCTGCAAATGCCTTGGGAGATAAAACCCTCCACCTAAAGAATAATCCCCACTCAACTTCAGGGATCATACCTTCCAAATCATTACTATCTTACAGAACCATGTGGGTAGGAAAGTGCCTCTGGATGCATTTCCTTAATTAAAGAATAAGCAAGCCAAGTACCAACTCTGCATCCCACTTGAGGGATTCTATCTGCCACATAATGATTTAAAAGAATAAGCTGGAATTTAACTTGTAAAGAAGTACTGCTGCCCCAAATGAATGTAATAATCCACTATTTTACCATTCTTTAACTATCCCAGCTTCAAACTGAAAGGGTGGTTAGGTGGCAAATAGCTACAGCTAGTACAAAATCAAACATGTCATATTAAATTTTGAAGAGTAAAAAAGGTACATAGCATCATTTATTAAACATTTTAAACCACTCTTCATCCTAATGGAAACTGAGGTGGCAGACTTTGCCACAAATACAACAGAATGAAACAACATTGTAACAAAAATAAATCGGGAATAAAAACAGCAAAAGGGACTGGGAATTACGCAACTTTAAAACACACAGGCAAGTAATTTTTAATCTGGCAACAAAAGGATAATGCTATCAGTGCCTGTCCAGCTTCTTTCCAACAATGGAAAAGCCTTTTACTTTATTCCTATACAACAAACTTATTCCACTGGAAATCTTAAAATGCAGGCAGGTTAGTATAGAGAGGTATTTGGATCCCAAACTGTCCTGTGCTGGAAAGATAAGCATGAACACATGAAGTGAATCAGAAGTGGCCAGGTAGCCAATGTTAACCCATCTTTAAGGGTTGTTCTAATATACTCCCATACAGCTGTACCTGTTAGCATTCCAAAAGCCATATTCTACACTAGCTTCCAAGTTGTTATCAAGGACAGCCCCATATACAACATGAAACAGCAATCCTACTGGGATATTACCAAAGCACTGAACACTGTGGCCAGAGAATCTTTTTGCAAAGCATGTTTGAAGCCAATGAACCAGCTGTTGAAAGGTACTCAGTACCATGGTCATCCCTGGGTTTCATGTGAAAATGCTGGGTCAAGGAGTGCCTTCAGCCTACACACCTATTCATGCAACCTTATCTGGAGCAGATTGTATGCCTCATTCTTGAACATGACAATCACCTACCCACAATGCACCTGTCCTGTCATGATTTGGCTTCAGTTTATTGGCACTCTTGCAGCACATTAAAGATTTCAGGCACAGAAACAACTGCACCTAACTCAAATGGTGTGCACAAACGGAGTCCCGCTGCAACCCTAGTGATGACACTTCAAACCTTTTCTTGTCCTCACCTATCAGCTTCATAGAGATAGATGCTAAAGAGAATGGGAGACAAAATGGAACTTTGCAGAACCCAATAATATAAGAGCCAAAAACTTGAGCGAAAAAAAATTCAAATACATAAGCCAGGGGTGTCCAACCTTTTGGCTTCTCTGGGCCACAATGAAAGAAGAAAATTGTCTTGGGCCGCACATTAAATACACAAACACTAACAAAAGCTGATGAACATATATATTTATATATCCCTTGTTTGCAATGGTAGGTTGAAATATTATTGATAATAGCTGCATTTCACTTGCCAAGTCACCACGAGCACATGTAATGTCTGATGGTGTCAATTCGTCTGTCTGTGCTTGGAAAATAACGCACTGGAAGCCACACGTGTGTACAAATAGCATGCGCATGTTTATTTTACATGGCATTGCAACACAACGTCATCTACAAAGTTCACATTTGAGATCTACACAATCAATTTACCAAGAAATTGCAAAATAATTTCATAATGTTTTAAGTAAGTTTACGATTTTGTGTTGGGCCGCATTCATAGCCATCCTGGGCTGCATGCAGCGCATGGGCAGCAGGTTGGACACCCCTGTCATAAGCCATTAATATAATAAAATAAAAATGAATATTTGCTTTAAGTATTCACGTTAGTACTACACTGAGGTATGCCAGATTAGAAGTGAGAATTAAAAGCATGAATTAAGTATGTCTGCTCAGAAGTAATTCCCATTAATCTTGCAGTCTTATGCGAGTGTGCACTGGGAATCCCACTATCTGAAAGTCATCTCCAGTACCAGTGTTTTTAGCCAACCTGAGAATGGTTTGTCAGGGCACAAAATCAGAAACTAGCATGAATGTCAAGGCTGCCAGAGAACTTTAACTTCTGAGCAGGAACAAAATGCTCCTCTTTCACCGGAACTGTAACAGCCAAACCCCAACTCACATCACTGAGATGGTCTGGTTCTAGTTTATCACAAGGAATAATGACTGCATTGCTGGACCAGTTCCTGACCCTCTTGGACCATAATTTTATGCACACTTACCTTGGATTAAGTAATAATGAACACATTCAACTCCGAGTAAACATGTTTAAGATTGCACCATGGATCCAGCATCCAATGAACATCAGACAATCAGATGTAACTGGACGGGGGGGGGGGGTTCAAAGAGCAGTGTGAGACTCATGAAGGTTGCTGCAGCTCTCAACTCACTGATACTCCTGGATAATGCATTTACCATTAGGGTCTTTTCCAGGAGTGGTGAAAAAGATTTGGACCTACTGCTTTATGTTCTATTGCTTTGCAGAAATTTCAAACTTTTGCAAATAGTGGCCCATAAATTTATTCCATCTTCCCCTACCTATGTTTTTGAAATGAAGACAGCTTTGTTAAACCAGGGGTGGATTTACGTGTAAAAATCCCACTTATTCAGTCCTGGCATATCCTGGGCTCAGAATTCTTTTTAAAGTGTATGGCTTTTGCACAAAGCTCTGGGAGAAGGGTCTCAGCCCTGAAGTTTGCCCACCTTTGCAGATCTTATTCCAGAATCTGTCATAAAAGTCGTGGATCTAATGTGTGTGGGAGGGTGGGGAGAGTGAAAAGGTTTAGAAGAAAATCCCTATTAGAACAGGAGGACCCCCTAATCTCTTCTTATAACATATGCATGTAAATGAGCCACAGGTCCTCCTACCAAGCTCAGAGGCACTCTTCTCATTTTCAACCACCTTACCATGAGCCTGTGGATGGCAGAGAAAAACAAGCAGTCCCACCTTGAAAATCCAGCTCAAATTAAACCGGAGACTGCGGCTTCGAAGCCCTACAGGCACCGGGAGGGAGGGAGCCGTGGGGCCACGTGACCTGCCACCCCAGCCCTCGATGAAGTGAGGAAAATAAGAGCCCCTCACCCTCAACAGAAGATGCGCGCCCTCCAATTCTACCGCGTCCGGTAACTTCCTACTTCCGGTTGAGCCCCCGCCCAGCCACATAATCCGGTCTCGCTCGGTGGGCGGGGCTTCAAGCCATTCATGAAGGTTGGTCTCGTCCATTTTACCTCCGAAAAGGTCGCGCATGCGCAGGGCGTCTTTTCGCCCCTCCCCCGTCGATGGAGCCAAAGGCGGCCTCCGTTAAACAGTAATAGACACACGTGATATTGAGCGAGACTCCGCGCTGCTTAGTGACGGGATGGCGCGGCGACCTCCCTGTCCGAACCAGCGGGGTCGACCCCGGCAATCATTCAGTCAGGATCTAAGTAATTCCGCCGCCTCAGGCGCGACGAGAAGGGCCTTGCTCCCTTTGCGGAGCCCCTAGCGGAGGGGCTGGCGGCCTCCAAATAATCACCGAGGCGGGGGCCTGCAAGTAAAATACAGCACTCTTGCTGACGAGGCAAGGAAAGCCCTTGGCCCCGTGAAAGGGCTCGGCCCGTCAAGCCGTAATGAAATACCGAAGCGAGAGAGGCGGGGAACCGCCACTGTGCGGAGGTGGAGGCGGGGGTCGCCGAGGAGCCCCTCGTCGGAGTCAAGGGGATTTCCTGGGGTGGTGCGGAGTGCTGCAAAAGCGGGGCTCAGGCCCGCGGGGTTTTAAAAACACACTTTAGCATATGCCGGTTAGTGCCGCTGGTCCCTCTGCGTGAGCCCGTTTCCGAAGGGTGAAAGGGGAAGCGCGGGAGGGGGCTCGATTTCGGGGAAAGGGCTCCGGCGGAACGATAAAAGGCGGGGCAAGTGGCGGGACCCTGCGGGGGAAGAGCCAGTGCAGCCCGGAGCGCCGACGCAGCGGGAGCCGCCAAGGCCCCCGGGGGGACTGTCGCCCTCCGGGGCCTCTGCCCCAACCGAGCAGTCACAGATGCATAACGTTGCTGCTGCCTCGGGTGGAACAGGGGAGGGTGAGCGGCCTCTCTGCTGGGCTTGTGGGGGGTACGTTGCTCCTCCACACATACAAAATGCCAAAGTGCATTATTGCTGCTGCCTGGGCGAAGTGCTTATACCTAAATATTGATACACTTGTTGATGGGACAGGGCAGAGAAGGTTCTCATCACTATTCGTGGGCTTGGCAGCACAAACAGTAAGAAATCAGTACCAATTTTGATATTGCTGCTTGCTGAGGAGCAAAGCCAGTGTCTGGTGCTGCATTCAAAATGTTTTGCACCGCTGCTAAGTTCAATTTGATGGTTGTTCTGCTGCAGTTTTAAACTTGTGCTTTTAGTGTTGTGTTTTATGGTCTTGTGTATCATGGTTTTAATTTGAGTAATGAGTGACAGAAAATTGGTATAAAGGCGACTTTCTGTGCAAGCTTGGCATGAGTTGCTGGGGCATACTGGGAGTTAAGGGCTTTTTTCTCAGCCTAAGCATGCATGGCATTGCAATTTAAATAAAGTCGGAAATGTCAACATGCAGTATTGTTGCTCTTTGAGGTGAAAGCTCTTCCTAAGTATCAAAATGCAACGTTGTTGAGGAAACATGGGTGTCAGGAAAGAACCTCACTACCAGGGTTGGATTAACATTCACACAATAAATTACAACATGATCCTGTAAGCATGTCTACTTGAAAGTAAGGCCTGTTTAGTTCAATGGACCTTATGCTCAAGTAATTGTATACAGAATTGCAGTCCAACTATCAAAATCAGTACTTGCAGCTCATTCAACTCAAGTCATGAGTTTATTAAACATCAAACTAGCATAGTTCTGCTGCTGGTCTCAGTGGTTCAGGAGGCTCCACTGATGTTGGCCAGCTGCTGCTGAGTAGTCTCTATGATATTTGGATCCTATTAGGTACAGAGATGCTCTGTATCCTGTCTGCTCTGGGCAGTTGCAAGTTGCAGCTCTACTTCTTGTCTCTCCACTCATTTAAAACCTGTGAAAGTGTACTTCTGGACATGCTGTGTTCTGCACAGATAACCATGACCACTGCCAGCACCAGTTTAATACACCAAAAGGTTTGAAAAGGACTTTAGAATCTGATGAACATGCGCAGAGTCTTTTTCCTTCACTGTGCAATAACCATCTGCTTATAATTGGCCCAGCACAGTTCTGGGGTTGTCTGGAACGACTGTAACAAGATTGACAAGCAGTTCTGGGGCTAAGCCCAGGGATGTCTTGGCTATGAAAGAAGCTATTCACTTAGCCCTATTTCTGTAAGGAAAAGCTTTTACAGCACAATCCCAATTAGGGCTCGCTAGAATCAATCATCCTTATTCATCTGCATAATATGTAGGGATAGGGGGTGTTAGAAAAGCTTGCTTAGAACAGAAGGTACAATTCCCAGTTACCCCAAAGACTGAATTGCCAGTACGATGCCTGCTAGAAGAGCACTCCTCTTAACAGTGACCTTTAAATGTTAACCGCCTGTGTTTTAAAAAGTAGGGGTTTTTTATTATTAAAGAAGAGACGTTTTTGAAACAACAAAAAAAGAATGCTTCCAGGGTATTTCTTGCTATCTTGCTGGGGATGGGAGTAATCCTTGAGCGAGGATAGGATTGCACTCCTTCCTCCCCAGCATTACCTGTTCCCACACCCCTCTCCTTGCAGGGTTCTTGTTTTGCTGGCATTCTCCGCACCCCACACATAGTTTTATGCTTTGCCTGTGCAGGAGAATTTACCATCAGTGTTATCTTGCTCCACATACTCATGGGTAAGGTTGTTCTGCATAGATATACTCTTGCTCTCATATATTGTGTACATTACAATGTCAGCATTTCATGATATGAAGCATTGTTTTCTAAACTTGTGACAGCTCTGCTTTTTGTTTATAACTGGAAACATATTTCAGTCTCATGTTCCAAAACAAAACCAAATTACTTTCAGATTCTGAAAAAGCCAAAGCAAGCTCCAACTCCTTGACTCATGCAGAGAAACAATGGGCAGCCTCCTGTGGCATCTCTGCTGTGAGAATGGTTGAATGGTGCAGTCACAGCTGGTACAGAGTGGCAACAGACTGATTGCATAGCCAGAGGAGTAGATTGGGCAGAGGAACAATAGGGTAGTTTTCTTCTTAAAGATGGTTGCTTTTGGGTAACAGGAATCCCAAAATTTCTTCTCATTCCCCCCACCCCCCATGCTCTGGCTCATGCTTAAAATTTATTAATACGAGGTTAAATAACATAAAATTAAAACTCTGAAAACTGTGTACAGTACACAAAGCAGGGGGTACCTCCATTAATTTCTGAAGTTCTTATTTGGATTTTAGAACAGATGCTATAGAGTGGCAGCATATTGTAGACTGCATTTTAGTTTGTGATTTAGCAAACCCCTCCTACACAGCAAGAGAGACACAAAAATGTTCTCCAAGCAGATACTTTATTGCATTTTATTTTCCAGTATAGAACACCTTTTCTCTCTTTCTTTCCTTTTTTTTAAAAACAGGCAGTTAACATTTAAAGGTCACTGTTAAGAAAAGTGCATATTATCAGGAATATATTCGTCGCAGCCAAGGAACACCACTCACATGTATGGATGTGTGGCATAGGCACACATCACTCTGTGCCCAAACAGAGAAACTAGGGTTGTAAAGTTGAACAAATTCATTGGTTACACTTATTAATTAAAATCACTTAGGCACCTTCAGGGTTTGTACCAGCACTCCTGGTCTGCCATGACAAGTGCTTCAATAGTGTATGGAAGTTCCTAAATATTCACAGATAATTTGGCAATCTGACATTTTCACATGCTAAAATAATAGTTGAGATGGAATGGACCATCAAATCTAACACTCTCTTTTTTTCTTAAACTGTCAAAGGTTTTCTATTTGATGATATGTTTTTAGATTTTTTACTTTTGTGACCATCCTGGAGATCTTTGGGTACTGGGTAGCACATAAATATGTTAAATAAAATCTGATTAGCAGTGCTGCCATTAGTGCAGCAGAAACTTACTCAGCAGAATAAGCAAGAGAGCCACCAAACATGACTGGGCTGGTGGCATTTTGAAGAGTTTCTACATTGCCATTTAATGAACCCTGCCCCCAGTGAGACCGTTAGAAGCAATGCACACTATTCTGACGAGCCATACCCTTCTTAGGTTCTTCTTAGTTCAGGATCTAAAATTATCTAAGTGCTCCTGGGTAAAAGAGAGTAAAGAGTGCTCATCTGGGCAACTTCAGGGGTCCCAGGATACACCTATATTTAAACAAATTTAAAATTCCCACTTTAAAAGGTTTTTTGTGTATTTATTTGTTATATTATACTCTGTGTTTTTTTCCTTTGAAGGAATTCAAGGCAGTTTATATAGTTCACCCCTTCCTATCAGTTCTTATCCTCACAACAACAACCTGACGAGGTAGGCTGGGCTGAGAGGCTGTGGCCAGCTCAAAGTCACCCAGTTAAGCTCCAAAACTAAGCAGTGACTATAACCCAGAACTCCTCCGTCCCGCCTTTGTACTCTTAAACACTACACCGGCTCTCCAGTGTAAGCAGCTTCATCTTGAAGCCGCCATTTATATTTTCCAAAATGCCCCAGGAGGACAACCAGAGACTTTGATGTTGGCTTCCCTGCAGCGCTGCTACTGCTCTTGTCTGCTGCCCCCAACCACCCAAACAGGCCTTCTAGGGGCTAGAAGACACTTTGACAAGGGTCTTTTAAAATCCGGATCTGACCCCAGCTATATCTCCAGATTCTACCAAAGATTTGTCTAATCTTTTGCACATAGGCTTTAGTTGGGGGGAGGAAGTCATGTGGCAATTTGGAAGTAAATTTTAGACAGATGG